TCTTATGTTAATTGTTTTTTTATTCTCTCAACTCAGCTTATTGTTCTTTGACTAATAATGGTGTGCCATTCATGTGTTTATCTCCCTTAAAAGTCCCAGGCATCATCAAAACTAGGGATGCACTGATATGAAAATACTGATAATGCTTTATATTTAAAAGCCGATAACCGATATTTTGGCCGATAATTCTAAATCCAAATTTTTATATAGTTTTTTTTAGTCTGATTATATGAACAAAAGTCTCACCATTAAAGCCATGTCCCAAGCACACAATTATGAACATTTTGGTCGATACCGATAACTTTACATTTGAAAGCCGATAACCGATATATTGGCTGATAAATCTAAATCCAAATTTTTATATAATTTTTGAGAGCCTGATTACAAGAACAAAAGTCTATTAAATCCCATCTCCCAAGCACACAATTATGAACATTTTGGTCGATACCGATAACTTTAAATTTGAAAGCTGATAACCGATATATTGGCCGATAAATATAAATCCAAATCAAATTTTTATATAATTTTTGAGAGCCTGATTACAAAAACAAAAGTCTCACCATTAAATCCCATCTTCCAAGCACGCAATTAGATAATGTTCTCTTTATAATGTTACGTAGCCAATATGACAGACTTAATCTGCATATGTTGCACTTTACTCTATTTTCTCTATTTTTGAAGTGATTACAATCATATTTCAAGCAATTCAAACCCATCATGTTGAACAGTGCGCAGCTGAAGGAAATAATAGATTATCAGCTTTCATATATATCGGCCAACTTCTCTTATGTGGCCGATAACAATAACCTTATAAATGAAGTTGTATCGGCCGATGCCGATATAAAGTGCATACCTGATCAAAACATAGTGTCTGCTGAGATCTGTTAATCACTTTCCAGCTCAACCAATAGTGAGAGATTGGGGGCGTGGCTACAGTAAGCAGGCGGAGCCAGAGGGTGACTGATGCGTTACATGGGAGACGTTGTTCAGCTTCGGGTACAGGACTACAAGACAAAATTCACTGCATTTAGACCTTCAGAGATTAAACTGATCATGAACACGTCAAAATGTAAAGATTTTGTGTCTTAAATTCATTTTCTATGAAACACTGTTGGAGTGAAACACAGAACTTCAGATCCTCTGCTGTACAATTGGCCCCTTATTATGCATTATCCATTTTTTTTGCAAGGACATTGATAATTTTGTGCAATAAATTGCAAATTGTCCCTATAATGAATCAAAAGGTGAACCCCTTCTGCCTATATATCTGCCTGAACCCCTATAATAAATGAACTAAACGCCTGTATCTCTTTCTCTTTTCATCCTAGGCGAAGTCATGTATGTGTCACATGTGTGGAGCTCATTTAAATCGACTTCACTCCTGTCTCCATTGTGTGTTCTTCGGCTGTTTCAGCAAGAAACACATCCACGAGCACGCCAAAAACAAGAGACACAACCTAGGTAAGATGCACACGAGCGTAATTCACATTTCTAAGGTAAGACACGCAGAGAACAGAACACATGAGCACGACTCGTGCGCAGATCATGGCTAATAAACTCAGAACGACGAATAATGGACACACGGTCACAACGGGTCATTCACAGCTTTTGGGATGGATATTTTTGGGGTTTATTCCCCCCGATAGTTCCGTTTTTAATGGTTAAAATTAAATTTGTGTCACGTTTATTTAATTGAAATCATGAATCATGACATTTCTACAATTTACCAATGATTTGATAAATGTTTTTATTTAAAAAATGTTTGTTATGGGCATACACAATCGTCAAGCCCCCCCTCCCCCCAATTATTTATTAATTTAAACCTTTTTTTTTTTTTACTGGATTCCGTTTTAATGAATAGAATTGTATTAATCAAGGAGCGTGTAATTATTTGAAATCATGGAATGTATGTAATTTAACATTAATTTATTTAATGTTTTAACATTAAAACCTATTTTAATTTTCCAAAAAATTAATATATTTTTTTCTATTTGACTGGATTCTTCTTTTTTAAATTATTTAATTATATAAATCTAATATAAATATATAATAACAAATATAGTAAAATATAACAAAAAAACACGTCTTAATATAATCACAATAATCACATCAGTTTTTTAGAATTTCTGTTTTATTATTGTCTGTTTTAATTTTCCTGTATCTGTGATTTATAGTTAAGTTTAAAACATGGAAGAAACATTGTAATACTCCTTATTAAAAGGTTTATTATAGTTATGGTTATTACTTTGAGAAGTACAGTACATTATACTGTACAATAGTGGGATATTGGTAACCTTTTACACTGTACATTAGTTAACAATACTTCTACAGCATGTTAATCGTAATGCTAATTTCTAGGGCTGTCAAGCGATTAATCGCATCCAAAATAAAAGTTTGTGTTTGCATAATATATGTGGGTGCACTGTGTATAATTATTTTATATATAAATACACTCATATATATATAATATATAGTTTATATATAATTTAGATGATATGTAAATATAAATATTTTATATATAAATATTTTTTTCCTAAATATACATGCATGTGTGTGTGTGTGTATGTATGTATATATGTATGTATATATATATATATATATATATTTATATATATGTGTGTGTGTGTGTAAAATAATTATACATAGTGCAACCACATATATGCAAACACAAACTTTTATTTTGTATATATCGCGATTAATCGTTTGATAGCCCTACTAATTTCTACATTTACTAATGCATTTTTAAAATCCAAATTATTTTGCGTTATCACTAGTTAATGCAATGTGAACTGCCATGAACCTGAACATTTATTTAAACTAACATTTAACAAGGGTTAATAAATGCTGTAAGAATATATTGCTCTGTTAGTTCATGTTAGTTAATGCATTAACTAATTAGACCTCTTATTGTAAAGTGCTACAAATATATCTGTCATCATAATTTCATCAAGTTGAACTTTATTTTGATGGGATTGTGTTTATTTTCTGCTTTAATATTCACAGACATTAGTCTAGATTAAAATTTGATATTTTCATCTTTTTTTTAATGTATTCATCCAACATTTGCCAAATTCAGTGTTTTAATTCCATTTCTGTGGAACAGTTTTTTACAGCACGCAAATGAATTAAATTAATAATTAATGAAATACTCCACCATTCTTGCACAAAAATCTAATTTAATTTCTGCCCCAAAAGCCATAAAATTATTTGTCTGTTGTTTGTACTCTACAAGCAAGAGGCAGCAAGTGCACAGACGTGGCTGTGGATGTTCGGATGGGGTCTTGGAAATCTCCCAGGTCCTTAATGCATTGGTGGCATGTAATTATCCCCTCTGTTTTAATGAGGAGGGGCGCCACCCTCCAACAACAAACAAATAAGAGGCGCAAACAGACGGGAATTTGGGTAATTATAGTGTGCGAGGGGATAATAGTGCCTGACTCTGTGTGACTTGCAGTGTTTACTCCCAGCGAGGGCTTAGAGTTCATCAACCACCTATTTCAGAGGTTTGGGGTTTTTCCAAATCACCCTCGAGCTTCACACAATGAACTTAATTAATTTCTACCTAGAGATATGAAGCTGCCATCTTTTAGGATTTGCTCTTGTGTATTGAAAGAGGAAGAACCACCCATGATACGACAACCAACTACAGTCAAACCAAACATTATTCATTGGCTAAACAGTAGGGCTGGGTAATAAATATCGATTACTCGATACTAATCGATTCTAATTTTTACGAAGCGATATCGATTCTTGAATCGATTAGTCATCCTGTTTCATTTGAATGAATGGAACATTGTATCGCGCAATAATCTTTGTTCTTTGTTACTATTGACATGAAACAAAGTCTAAATTTTCAAATTACTCCCATTTTCTTTAGAAATTCAAAAACATAATTAACGTTTTGGCGCTGTGGCGTGAGATCGCTCTGGCGCAGCTCAAGAGAAGCAGAGAACCGGGTTAATAATACCAGTTAAAGCGCCAAATAAACATGAATGAGCATCTGAAAGTGTGTTAAAGATCGAGTACAACTTATCCAAATCCGTATCATGTCACATTGATTCGCTCAATCAGCGTTTCAACCGTGGAAAGACGTCAGTTAAACAGCTTGTAATCAATGTATCGTCATATTTACCTCAGAAAACCCACATAAACTCGTTAGTCAGCTAGAAAAAATAACTCTAAGATTAAAATGCATATGTAATATGGTGTATGTATTTAGCAAAATGCTCCTCTCTAATGTTCTTCAATATTTAATGCATATTTGAATAAATCTGGCAAGTTTTTATGACAGCCACCATTTAGATGTTTATATTTCATATAATCTTCCTATTATAAAATAAATAAAAGTGTAATTTAATAATTTAAGTGTTTGTATAGCTACAAAACAGTTCATTATTACCTTCATATTAGGCTAATGAAGCCTATAGGCTACAACTAGACTCCCATAGTTTACAGCATTAGTTAAGTGATTTGATTTCCTTGAGAAAATTTGACATTTATTGTTACTGATATCCAAAATAATCAATATTGAATCAAATCGGAATCGAAATCGAATCGAATTGTGAAATTTGTGTCAATACACAGCCCTACTAAACAGCAAGCAATACATTAGTGAGTGTTGCTTTAGTGTCATTGATATACGGGGCCTAACGGTTAGAGTCTCTGTACCGGCATGAAATCTCGGCAGAAAATGGGTATTCTGGGCGTGTTTGCAAATTCAGAGTATGGGACTCACTTCCACCTTTTTTTGCTTCAAAATATCTTTCCAAAACAACTTTCAGTGGGCAAAAACTCTAATACAATGCATCCTCACAGCCTCGCCTGTGTTCAATTCAAAATGGATGGCCTCTAAGTTCCTGACTTATTTTTCTGTTTTCTTTTTATTTTAGTGAGTTTTAGCCTCTCCCTATGGAGGATCACTATACCACTCTACAGATAAAGCGTTGTGGAAATTTATGTTCGCGTAAACATAAAATAAAAATCGTATCAATTCATAGGCAAGACAATTAGTTTGTAGGGAATTACAAATATACTCAAACGCACATAACTAAATCAATTCATAATGTGCATGTGAACGCCATCAGCGTTTATCACAGGTTTAGTTTAAAGTAGTTATTTAAAAAAAAAAAAACTTTTGCTGATAATTTACTCACCCCCATGTCATCCAAGATGTCCATGTCTTTCTTTCTTCATTCGAAAAAAAATTAAGGTTTTTGATGAAAACATTCCAGGATTTTCTCCATATAATGGACTTCAATGGGGACCAAATGGTTCAAGGTCCAAAAGACAGTTTCAGTGCAAACTACAAACTGTTCAAAGGGCTTTAAACGACACCAGATGATGAATAAGGGTCTTATCAAGCGAAACAATCGCTCATTTAATAAATAAATAAAAAAGTTTACGTTTTATAAGCACAAATGCTTGCCTTGCTCTGTTCTGTGATGCGCGTTCGTGACTCTCCTGTTTCATCAAAATGATCGAATCTTTTTTTGAGTCATTTCGTTCGTTGGATTAATCAAATGACTCGAAAAAAGATTCGATCATTTTGATGAAACAGGAGAGTCACGAACGCTCATCACAGAACAGAGCGAGGCGAGCATTTGAGCTTATAAAACTTAAACTTTTTTATTTATTTTTTAAATGAGCGATCGTTTCGCTTGATAAGACCCTTATTCATCATCTGGAATCATTTAAAGCCCTTTGAACAGGTTGTAATTTGCACTGAAACTGTCTTTTGGACCTTGAACCATTTGGTCCCCATTGAAGTCCATTATATGGAGAAAAATCCTGGAACGTTTTCATCAAATACCTTAATTTCTTTTCGACTGAAGAAAGAAAGACATGGACATCTTGGATGACATGGGGGCGAGTAAATTATCAGCAAAAGCTTTTTTAAAAGTGAACTACTCCTTTAAAGTCTGTGTAGAGAGAACGGTGTCGTCTTAGCGGACCCTAATTTAAAAACAAAAGATCATTTCAATGGAAGCGAATCAATCTTAACTAACTTAAGCTGGAAAATAACATTCAAGAACCAACCCAATCACGGTTACCTTAAATGACATGTTTATCTCTGTAAAGCTGCTTTGTTAAAGCGCTCTATAAATGAGGACGACTTGACTTGTGTGTTTTTGCCCACCGATCCGAGTCCCTCGCCGCCGGTTTGTTTTACCCCAGGTGAGGATTTATCATCCGCAGTATCATGTCACCAACGAGGCGAAACCGAGCGCTCGCTGTGTTTCCCAGGTGGCGTCGAGGCGTCGCTCAGTCTTTACACCCCGCGTTCCCCTCGGAGTTTGATTGAACATTTAATTAGGTTAGTCTCCGTACATGGGATATCTGTGAATGAGCGCGCCGTTCCCGAGGAGGGAAACTGTGATTATTCTCCAAAGACGAACGGGGAGTAATTAAGTCTGAATGAGCCACCGATTCTTTCTGTTGGTGCAATTTGATTTAAATTGTGTTTTGTTTTTTTGGGGCCTCTATTTGCCGTGGCTGTTTTGTCGGCTCACACTTTGTCAGGCTTGATCTCGGTGTTCTTTCCTCTTTTTCCTGTGCTGGTTCCCATGGTTACCTGAAGGCCTGCTATGCTTTTGGTTTATTCATCTGATGTGTGTGTGTGTGTGTGTCATGCAACCCCACCTCATTCTCTTGTGCAACTTCTCTCTTTTGAAAAATACTGTTTAAAGCTATCATGCATGAGTCATTTTGACGGTTTAAAAAATACATTTTTATTCTTTTCTGTGTCGTTTGTTCGGATTGTTTCTTCTCTCTCTCTCTCTCTCTCTCTCTCTCTCTCTCTCTCTTAATACAGACCCATAACTGTGCCCATTTATAATGCTGATTTGTTGATATTTCTATTCTAAGAATAATTATTTATCAGGAATGCATTTGGTTTGTTAATGATAGTTGTTGGTATTCTCTAGACTTGGAACTTGGACTCGACTCCAATTTTGAATGAACTCGGATAAATTTGTACTCGGATAAATGTCCGAGTCCGGGAACTTGATGACACAGTATTATTCAAAAACGAAACGAACTTGTTTCCGCGTTGAGCATTACAGCCAATCACAGACATGTATATTAAAGGGATAGTTGGAATTAATTTTTGGTATGTTTTATCTTACCTCAAGGGCATCCAAAATGTAGGTGTCTTTGTTTTCACAGTATTTTCAATTTTGATATTTTTGGTCAAACCGTTGTTGTCTGTCAGTCATATAATGGAGGTCTATGGTCACCACCTCAAAGAGCATGCACAGAGAAGTCCAAATTAAATATGATTTATTTTAACCCTTATGTGCTGTTGTGGCTTTTTTCAGCCACTAAGGGGTATTTTTTAGTCTTAATTTGGCCATAACTTTTTCCTTGTTTCAGCAAATGGAATGATTTTTGGTGACAAATCTTATTTTGACACATATTTTGGGAAAATGCTTTGAAATTTTTTAAAAACTCAACAGTACACTCTGGGCAAATTCACTACCCTTTCGTTATGTTCGTGGCTGAAAAAAGCCACTACTTTAAACTGCTATAAAAATGTATCAGATAAATATTTTTTTCAATTTTTTTTGCATAAATCTATTAACCGACCTCAGTCCTGCTCAAAACTACTAAATGTTTAAAAAAAATTCAGGATTTTAGCTCTTTAATTGCCAAATTCATAAATGATGTCACTGATTTGGGGAAAAAAAACACACAAAATGACTTATTTTCAATATAAAATATGATTATGGACTGGATTTTTTTTAACCTTTTATCACAGTCTTGGACTTGTCAAAGATTAGAAACAACATTGGTTTTGATGCATTGTTAGTTTTTGTGCAGCATCAGATTTTAACTTTTTCTCCCTCATTTACTGTTCGTGGCTGTTTTTGCCCCATTGACTTCCATTATAACCACATTTTTTGATTGCAAAGCCATGACACCATAAAATCATGCATTTTTAATTGTTGATGGATTTCCCTGTTGGGAAGAGGTAAAATTTGTAATTTTTACTGTTGGTAACCAGGTGGAACCATTAACCCTTTAGACAGGCCTGTGCAAAGAAAAGCTTAGTTTCTGGCTTTTACATGGAGTTATATGGAGTATAATAGCATATTACAGTGTGTGTGTGTGAGTGAGAGAGTGTGAGAACTTACCTTGATGCGTCTGAGAAAATAAAAATATACACTTCAGCTCTCAAAACTACATGGAGTAAACAAAAACAAAGTAAGTGTGTTTATTTATTTAATCACAGTCACGTGACTCACGTCCAAGTGATCTGAGGGCGCGGGCGCTTCGGTCTCTGCAAGCGGTGGATTGAATCCCAGGACACTAGTTTGTCACAGGTTTATATTTTCAAAGTGCATCAAGGTGTCAATTTAATTACATTTACATTAACTAATGCATTATGAATAAACATTGAACAATAATCTATTCATAATAACTTACATCAACCTAGACTCTGTAAATGCTGTAAAATAATTATATTTATAGTGGGTTCATGATTCCCAATGTATCAATGAAGTGAATCCAATTTTAAAGTGTTACCATTTTACATTTTAATGAATCTTAATACATCATGAATGGTGTGAACAGGATTATAGTTTAATAGAAATGTATTGCCATGGCAATATCTTCCGCAGAATGCGTTTAGGCAAAAATAGACAGCAGCTGAACGCCTTCAACTTCCATTATGTGATGCATCTGCAAGTGACACAAATATTGCAATGGAAAATAACAAAGCCTGTTTAATAAAATACAAAAAATGCATTAGGATCTAATTGGATGGATTGTTGCATTGGTATTTATTATTGGCTTATTATTTTTGAATAATATTATTTTAATGCAATGCATTTCTCGTCATGCGCTAATAAATCCTAATCTTGCACAGAGACCAAATGCATTAATTTAGGAAGTAAATGGGGTCGGTTTTGAGCCGATTTAACAGATTTACCACATGCCTGTGTGGATTGTTAACGTCCTGCCAGTTCAACTACTGCGCACAATAAGACTTCTTGTCCCTTTGCAATAACTGAAAATAGCCAGTCTGAAAGCCTCTGAAAGCTTGGGCGTCCGAGCACCTGTCGACAGCTTGTGCCAGGCTGTGCATTAGTGTCGTGTCACACACAGACGCCGGTTCCCACTGCTTCACTCCACCTGCGAACATTTAGTGCGTCTGTGTGAAACAGACCATCATCCGGTTGCTATGGGAACTGAAAAACAGGTAGGAGAAATGGGCGAATGGCACAGTGTAAAAATAAAACACAAATCATGTCATTTTTACAGAGTAATTCTGTTAAAGGGGTCATAAACTGGCTTTTTTTACATATATATTGTTGTCTGAGGTCAGCTTATGACGTTCGCTTGGTTTTTACATTAAAAAACATTAAAAATGAATAAGTAATAGGCTATTTTCTACCCTAGTTTTGAAAAACGCTGGGTTTTTATGGGCGTCTCGCACTGAAGACTTGGTAGTAAACGCCCACTGCTGTGATTGGAGAACAGTTTTGCATATTATAATGAGTTTCACACTAAATCCGGTTTGTCATCACGAGGTAGGCATCTATGTTATTCATCTATGCGTGTAATGCGTGAATCGGTGGGCGGGGCTAAACCGGCCATGTTGAAGTAGGCGTGGTGTTTTATCCTCTTTGTCGTCATAGTTCCCCACTTTGAAAAACGAGTCGTTTGCTGGGGCTGGTGTCAATAAAAGCTTTTATTGGACTAACGAGGACGTTTTTTTAGCTCTGAAACTTACATGATATTCGTATAATATGATGACCTCTTAGATGTCAGAAGCTCAAGGAAAATTTGATTTCTCAGTTCATCACCCCTTTAAAACAGTAAAAATGGCAACATATTTACATATTGTGTGTGTGCAGACACACGCATGCATACGTACATGTATATATATATATGAAGAGTTCAGATGCAAAATTTTCTTCTAGAATGATAATTTTATCAAGCTTGTATATTTAAGTTCAGCGATTTCACTTAAATTGCAATGATAATTGCCTATTAATTGTTATTTAAGTGAAATTACTGAACTTAAATATACAAGTTTGATAATCATCATTAAAGAAGAAAATTTCAAATGGCATTTAGAGGCTTTTGCATCTGAACTCTTCATATATATATATATATATATATATATATCCATCCTCATTCACAGCTATAGCATCAGTCAGGGCAATAGGAAGCTGACGGGTAAAGGCGATCGTTCTCGTGACATTTCACAGAGGACACGATATCGTGGGACAAGCAGCGATGGATGTTTCCGTGCTGCACCCTAATTATTATTCCCATCACTTATTAACGGAGGCAGATTTGCTGCACTGAGCAATGCTTGGGACGCCTCTTAATGCCTCATCCATATTTACAGGGTAGATACAGGAAGATGCAAACGTCAACTTCTCCAAAAGGTCTCTAATAGGTCCTTTCCCTCTGTTTTTTCTCTCTCTCTCCTTCTCTTATTCAGCTATAGACCTTTTGTATGGTGGAATATATTGCTTTGTGTGCCAAGACTACATTTACGACAAAGACATGGAGCAGATTGCCAAAGAAGAACAAAGAAAAGCCTGGAAATTGCAAGGTTGGTTCCTCTGTAGTTCAACTTGGCCTGTATTAAAGGAGTAGTTCACTTTAAAAAAAAAAAAACTTTAGCTGATGATTTACTCACCCCCATGTCATCCAAGATGTCCATGTCTTTCTTTCTTTAGTCGAAAAGAAATTAAGGTTTTTGATGAAAACATTCCAGGATTTTCTCCATATAATGGACTCCAATGGGGACCAAACGGTTCAAGGTCCGAATGAGTTTCAGTGCAGCTTCAAAGGGCTTTAAACGACACCAGACGATGAATAAGGGTCTTATCAAGCGAAACGAGCGGTCATTAAAAAAAAAATAACAACAAAGTTTAAGTTTTATAAGCACAAATCCTCGCCTTGCTCTGTTCTGTGATGCGCATTCGTGACTCTCCTGTTCAAACTCAAAATGATCAAATGTTTTTTTTGTGTCATTTGGTTCATTCAACGAACAAAATGAATGAGTTGACTGGAAAAGATTCGTTCATCGGTCAAGACCCTTATTCATCGTCTGAAATCGTTTAAAGCCAGTTGAAGCTGCACTGAAACTGTTCTTTGGACCTTGAACCGTTTGGACCCCATTGAAGTTCATTATATGGAGAAAATCCTGGAATGTTTTCATCAAAAACCTGAATTTCTTTTCGACTGAAGAAAGAAAGACATGGACATCTTGGATGACATGGGGGTGAGTAAATTAAAGTGAACTACTCCTTTAAGAGGCCGTTCGTTCGGGAAAATTAATGTTCGAAACTGTTGTGTTGTGAGCCACGATAGGGCAAGAGTGTGTGTTTGCTTTGAGCTAATCTTTCACTATTTTCTTAAGCTTGCTATTGAATCTGTAGCGTAATGCTAAAGTAGATTTGCGTTTGCTGTTGTTTGCAAGGCCTCAAAATAATAACTAGCATGCTAGTTTAGTTTGGCATCATCACTGAAGTTTTTTCAAAACCTTAACGTTTCTAATGTGCAATGTTTATGAAATCCAAAAAGTTTGCATGCAAAAGGAATCATTTGTGTTAATTCATGCTAGCAATGTGTCAAATCGTGTCAGCAACATGGTAATCATTAATGGGATGAATTAAAAACATGCAAGTTTAGTTTTCAGGCTTGCATTGATGTCATCACTGTAAAGCTTTTTTTTCTTACTTTTTTATGTGCATAGTTTATGAAATCCAAAAAGTTTATGCATGCAGACTTTTATAGTAGTTCATGTTTATAATAACTCATCAATCTAGCAACATGTGAATCACGTTAGCTACATGGTAATCATTTTAGAAAACATGTTAATTCTGTTTTCTATGTGAATATACAGTAAAATGTAATTTATTCCTGTGATTTCAGCATCATTATTACTCCAGATTTCAGTGTCACATGACCCTTCAGAAATCACTCTAATATGAGGATTTGATGCTCAAGAAACATTTATAATTATTCATGAAACCATGGAAACCATGATATTTCTTTGAATAGAAAGTTCAAAAGTACAATATCTTTAATTCAATGTAGTGCATTCTTATTGTTTAATGTGCAAATTCCCCCAAACGCCAGGTATCGGAGAGAAATATTCGATGTGGGAGCCTACGAAGCGAGAGCTGGAGTTGCTGCGACACAACCCCAAACGAAGAAAAATCACAGCGAACTGCACCATTGGTAAGAGCTTCATTTCCCACAGGCCACATTTCTGAAACTGTTCAATAACACAGCAGCTGATCAGACCTCTGCCAAAACTCATCTGTACAAAACCAGTGGGTTCAAATGATTTTCTAGTAGTCGAACGTCTAGAGACTGCAGTTTTGCACCGGAGCCAAGACCACTCTTCTTTTCTTGGCCATCAGATTCGACACTTTCCATCTATTGTTTTTTTCTGTTTGCATGCCGTGGCGAGAGATATGGACTCTAGCCATTAGAGAAATAACGTTCCCTCTCCCTTTTCTCATTTTCGCCTGTTTCCCCTCAGTCAGAGGCCTGGCAGTGGAGTAATGGTGTTAAATATCTGCACCACAGGCCCAGCGTAGGCGCTAAACGCTAGCCTCTCTCACACCCAGAGAAACGCACTAATGCGATTAGCCATATGAGAGCCGGAGCTCCCATTGATCATTTAGGACATAATATGGGCCATGTATGATGAACTCAGATGGATATTGTGTGAGATTGCTGTTGGTTTACAGACTGTAGGCGTCCGACGACACGACACATCACGACAGCTTTCGGCTTCATTAAAGACGCGCCAAACTTCAGCAACGGTAAAATCTCAACAGCGGAATAATTTTGCACTTTTACATCAATTAGTGTTGGGAGCTGAGAGCTCTTTATATATATATATATATATATATATATATATATATATATGAAGAGTTCAGATGCAAAAGCCTCTAAATGCCATTTGAAATTTTCTTCTTTAATGATGATTTTTATGAAACTTGTATATTTAAGTTCAGTAATTTCATTTAAATAACAATTAATAGGTAATTATCATTGCCATTTAAGTGAAATTACTGAACTTAAATATACAAGTTTGATAAAAATCATCATTAAAGAAGAAAATTTCAAATGGCATTTAGAGGCTTTTGCATCTGAACTCTTCATATATATATATATATATATATATACAATTATGTAAAAAAACACCATAACTGATGTTAAATATAACACACAGGACTACGTTGTAGTTTGATTCCCAAACAAATGACTCTTGAGTTCCTTGTAGTGAATTGAAAACATACTGGGAGACCAATGTAAGCCAGCTGATTCCTGAACGCACGACTCTTTTGATCTGGTCCTTTTTAGTGATTCATACACAAAGTAGGAAACAAGTGACTCTTTTGAGCTCTGAGTTGATTCTTAGCAGCACCAGAGGAGTCCAGTTCTTGAGCAAATGACTCTTTTGAACTGGTTCTCTTTAGTGAATCAAAGATGCACTGCATGACCAGTGTTTATAAAACCAATTCCTGAATGGATGACTCTTTTGAACTGATTCTTTTTAGTGAATCAAAGACCTACTGTGTGACCAGTGTTTATAAAAACAATTCCTGAATGGATGACTCTTTTGAACTGGTTCTTTTTAGTGAATCAAAGATGCACTGCATGACCAGTGTTTATAAAACCTATTCCTGAATGGATGACTCTTTTGAACTGATTCTTTTTAGTGAATCAAAGACCTACTGTGTGACCAGTGTTTATAAAAACAATTCCTGAATGGATGACTCTTTTGATCTGGTTCTTTTTAGTGAATCAAAGATGCACTGCATGACCAGTGTTTATAAAACTAATTCCTGAATGGATGACGCTTTTGAACTGTTTCTTTTTTTCTGAATCAAAGACACACTGCGTGACCAGTGTTTATAAAACCAATTCCTGAATGGATGACTCTTTTGAACTGGTTCTTTTTAGTGAATCAAAGACACACTGTGTGACCAGTGTATATAAAACCAATTCCCGAATGGATGACTCTTTTGAACTGGTTCTTTTTAGCAAATCGGAAACCTACAGCACAACTAGAGGATTTAGATTCTCAAGCAAATGACTCTTGAGTCAGTTCTTTTTTTAGTGAATTGAAAACATACAGTGTGACCCTCGTAATTCAACTGAATCCTTAACAAATGACTCTTTTGAGCTGGATCTTTATAGTCAATCAAAAACAAATCACAACCAGAGTACGGTAGTCCAGTTCTCAAGCAAGTGAGAATCAGTGTCAAAAGCTAGTTTTTGCATCAGGGTTTTACACATGATCCAAATGATTCCCAACTCTTTTCAGTAGGATATTTTTAGTGAATCAAAAACGCATAGCTTACAAAACGGAGTGTTTTGTTGTGATGTGAAACTCAAATCACAATTATCACTTTTTTTTTAACTAAATAATTTAGGCTATCCATCTATTATCTGAAATTCTATCAAATGTTCCTCAAAAGAATCATTAAATGAACCGGAATCATCAAGTTACTTAGCATGAGCTGTTTTATGCATTGCTATCATGTTGAAGGCGATGCACACACAGTTTATTTCCGCTGTATATGTCATGCATGTAGTTTCGTTGTCCGGAGTATGAATGACTGAAGCGGAGGCCTTGTCAGCTGTGATGTGCTCTGTGTGTTGATCAGGCGTGCGTATGATGTTCAATCACTCGTGTGCATTAATAATATATTAGTACTTGAAAGCGCCACAGGAGACGCTGGATGATATCTATCTATCTATCTATCTATCTATCTATCTATCTCTCAATCTCTCAATCCAGGTTTTCTCACTGTTGGCCTTTCTACAGGGTTACTTGTTTCGGTTCTCCTCTTCCTCCGTGACGCTAACACACAGCTAGCTGTGACATCAGCGGCAACACTCCTGTCACTCAAGTGGCCACGCCCTTAATTATGCAGAACTTTAAAGGAGTAGTTCACTTTAAAAAAAACTTTAGCTGATAATTTACTCGCCCCCATGTCATCCAAGATGTCCACGTCTTTCTTTCTTCAGTCGAAAAGAAATGAAGGTTTTTGATGAAAACATTCCAGGATTTTCTCCATATAATGGACTTCAATGGGGTCCAAACAGTTCAAGGTCCAAAAGACAGTTCCAGCGCAGCTTCAAAGGGCTTTAACGACACCAGATGATGAATAAGGGTCTTATGTAGGACCCTTCGAGTCATGACTCGAAATAAGATTTGTTCATTTTGAGGAACGAGTTTGAACAGGAGAGTCACGAACGCTCAGAACAGAGCATGGAGAGCATTTGAGCTTATAAAACTTAAACTTTGTTATTTTTATTTTTTTAAATGACCGCTCGTTTCGCTTGATAAGACCCTTATTCATCGTCTGGTGTCGTTTAAAGCCTTTTGAAGCTGCACTGAAACTCATTCGGACCTTGAACCGTTTGGTCCCCATTGGAGTCCATTATATGGAGAAAATCCTGGAATGTTTTCATCAAAAACCTTAATTTCTTTTCGACTGAAGAAAGAAAGACGTGGACATCTTGGATGACATGGGGGTGAGTAAATTATCAGCAAAAGTTTTTTTTTAAAAGTGAACTACTCCTTTAAGGCTTAATATCATTTAATATCATACCACTTTTTGCACCAGGCTGCCGGTCTCTAGTGGCCAGTCGATGAATTGCAGTTTAAGTCGATTCGAGAGAGACTGGAAGGTTTCCACTTGCCTTCATCACTCCCTCAAACTGAACCCTGAGAAGTGTGATGGGGATTTTGACAACCGTGTCTGTATTTGACCATTCAGGCGCAAAGAGAAATATATTCGTCTTCTCACTTATTCCGCACCCAAAGTGCTTTCTTTGCTATTTCCGGCCGAATAATTGGTGCGTCCCTAGTTTTCACACAGTTGGCCTTTCTGCAGGGCTACTTGCTCTGGCCCCGTCCTCTGAGACGCGTGAGCAGCAGATGTCGGAGCGCTGTAGGTTTGGACCCGGGCCAGTGGCAGGCGTTTAGCCACCCTGTGTGAGCGCTCGTCTCAAAGCTCACGGGCCTGTGACCCGTCGTCAGCACCGCAGGGAAGAGACTCGATCTGACGGAGAAGAGAGCCTGCTGGGTTTAGCTTCTGTGGTGATGCACTTCAGATTGAGACGAGGCCATTTACGTTGTGAAAATGGATTGTTTGAACTATTTGCTCTAGTCAAGTCTCCTTCATTTATACAGCGCTTTTAAAGGAGTAGTTCACTTTTGAAAAAACTTTTGCTGATAATTTACTCACCCCCATATCATCCAAGATGTCCACGTCTTTCTTTCCTCAGTCGAAAATAAATTAAGGTTTTTGATAAAAACATTCCAGGATTTTCTCCATATAATGGACTTCAATGGGGACCAAACGGTTCAAGGTTCAAAAGACAGTTTCAGTGCAGCTTCAAATGTCTTTAAACGACACCAGACGATGAATAAGGGTCTTATCAAGCGAAACGATCGCTTATTTCAAAACTTATTTCAAAAATGTAACTTTTCTAAGGACAAATGCTGGCCTTGCTCCATTCTGTGAGGCGCGTTTGTAACGTCACGTATTACGTAATTACGATCAAAAGGTCACGGGCGACGTAGCCGGAAGTAAAGAGTCAGAGTGTTTACAAGTTGAACGCATAGGTTGAACGTGCAAACTAACTCAAACGCCGTTTACAAAAAAAGTAATTAAAAGGTAAAACAACGATGTCGGACGATTTTGATTCTGTACTTCCGGCTACGCCGCCCGTGACCTTTTGAACGTAATTACGTGACGTTACAAACGCGTTACAAATGTCAGCAACACATTTCTTATTCACTTTATATCTACTTACACAAAAAAAAGTAAAATGATCATAATCAGTTATTGGTAATAAAATAAAAATCTATATCGGTAAGTTTAAAATAAAAATGTATAAGTTATAAACTAATAACTTAGCTTATTTTTATTGGCTTTTATTGTGTCCATCCTTATTTGAATGCTCTCTGCACTTTCGATCTCCTCTTTCAGGATTGAGGGGTTTAATAAACCTTGGGAACACATGCTTTATGAACTGCATCGTTCAGGCTCTCACACACACTCCGCTGCTGAGGGATTTCTTCCTGTCCGACAGACACAAGTGTGAGATGCAGTCCAACTCTTGCCTAGTGTGTGAAATGTCTCAGCTCTTTCAGGAGGTGAGAGCCACACACACACACACACACATATATAACACTTAGACAGACACACACACTAACTAACTCCCAGACACTCTCTCTCTCACACACACATAAACTAACACTCAAACAGACACACTATTGCACACACATACATACACACTTGTATACCCACACTCTCACACAAACGCACGTACACAGACACACATACTAACTCTCTGACACTCACTCATACACACACAGACACACTAACTCCCAGAAACTCTCTCACTCATACACACACAAACACATATATACTAACACTCAGACAGACACACTGTTGCACTCGCATATATACACACTCATATACCCACACTCTTGCACACAGACACGCATACATACACACTCACTCACTCACACTCAAACTCATATACACACACTCACACACTCAAACTCAATATACACACACAGTCACACTCATATACACACACTCACTCTCACACTTACTCACACTCATACACACACACTCATATACACTCACTCACACACACTCATATACACTCACTCACACACTCAAACTCATATACACACACAGTCACACTCATACACACTCATACACTCACTCACTCATACACACTCACTCACACTCATATACACACACTCACTCTCACACTTACTCACACTCATACACACACACTCATATACACTCACTCACACACACTCATATACACTCACTCACACACTCAAACTCACACACACACACAGTCACACTCACACACACTCATACACTCACTCACTCACTCACTCACACACTCACTCACTCACTCACACACTCACACACTCATACACACTCACTCACACACTCAAACTCATATACACACACAGTCACACTCACACACACTCACTCACTCACTCACTCACTCACACACTCACTCACTCACTCACACACTCATACACACTCACTCACACACTCAAACTCATATACACACACAGTCACACTCATACACACACACTCACTCACTCATACACACTCACTCTCACACTTACTCACACTCATACACACACACTCAAACTCATATACACACACAGTCACACTCATACACACTCATACACTCACTCACTCACTCACTCATACACACTCACTCACTCATACACACACACACACACTCACTCGCTCACTCACACTCATACACACACACACTCATTCACTCATACACACTCACTCTCACACTTACTCACACTCATACACACACACACTCAAACTCATATACACACACAGTCACACTCATACACTCACTCACTCACTCATTCACTCATACACACTCACTCACTCATACACGCACACACACACACACACACACACTCACTCGCTCACTCACACTCATACACACACACTCATACACTCATACACACTCACTCTCACACTTACTCACACTCATACACACACACTCAAACTCATATACACACACAGTCACACTCACACAGACTCATACACTCACTCACTCACTCACTCACTCACACACACTCATACACTGACTCACTCACTCACTCACTCACTCACACACTCACTCACACACTCATACACACTCACTCACACACTCAAACTCATATACACACACAGTCACACTCACACAGACTCATACACACTCACTCACTCACTCACACAGACTCATACACTCACTCACTCACACACTCACACACACTCACTCACTCACACAGACTCATACACTCACTCACACACACTCACTCACTCACTCACTCACACACTCACTCACACACTCACTCACACACTCATACACACTCACTCACACACTCAAACTCATATACACACACAGTCACACTCACACTCACTCATACACTCACTCACTCACTCACTCATACACACTCACTCACTCATACACACACACACACTCACTCGCTCACTCACACTCATACACACACTCACTCTCACACTCACTCTCACACTCACTCACTCACAATTACTCACACTCATACACTCACTCACTCACTCTCTCTCATACACACACACACACACACACTCACTCACTCACTCTCTCTCATACACACACACACACTCACTCACTCACTCACTCACTCTCTCTCATACACACACACACACACACACTCACTCACTCACTCTCTCTCATACACACACACACACACACACTCACTCACTCATACACACACACTCACTCATACACACTCACTCTCACACTTACTCACACTCATACACACACACTCAAACTCACACACACACACACAGTCACACTCATACACACTCATACACTCACTCACTCACTCACTCACTCACTCATACACACACACACACTCACTCGCTCACTCACTCTCACACTCACTCTCACACTCACTCACTCACAATTACTCACACTCATACACTCACTCACTCACTCTCTCTCATACACACACACACACTCACTCACTCACTCATACACACTCACTCACTCATACACACACACACACACTCACTCGCTCACTCACACTCATACACACACACACTCACTCTCACACTCACTCACTCACAATTACTCACACTCATACACTCTCTCACACACTCTCTCACACACTCACTCACAGACACACACACACACTCACTCAATCAGTCACTCATTCATACTCAAATGAGCGAGTATGAGTGTGTGTATGAGTATGAATAAGTGTGTGAGTGAGTGTATACTCATACTCGCTCATTCACACTCATACACGCACTCAATCACTCATTCATACTCGTACACACTCACTCACACACTTATTCAAACTCATACTCACTCATTCACACTCATACACACTCACTCACACACTGACTCAGACACACACACACAGCACAACACAGCCAGAGTAATCGATTATCAAGCAAAAACTCTTTTGAGCAGTTCAGTGTCACATGATCCTTCAGAAATCACTCTAATATGAGGATCCGCTGCTTAAGAAACCTTTAGGACTTTTATTAATGTTGAAAACAGCGGTCCAGCTTCATTTGGGAAAACTGTGATACATTATCATTCAATGTTTTGTTTTTGGAAAGAGATTAATACATTTTTCAGCAAAGATGCATAAAATTGACCAAGTGACGGTAAGAAGATTTTATTAATGTTGCCAAAGATTTCTATTTCAGAGACGGATGAAATTCGTCATCACAGAATCCTGAACACATTTCATCACAACTTCCAGCTTCCAATATTGATAATAATAATCATAAATGTTTATTGATCATCAGATCCTCATATTAGAGTGATTCTGAAGGGTCATGTGATGCTGAAGACTGGAGTAATGATGCTTTGATCACAGGAATAAATTACACTTTACTGTATATTCACATAGAAAACAGATGATTTATATTATAATAATATTTCACAATTTTCCTGTATTTTGATCATGTATTGTGTCGCTCACGTGTCTGTGGTTCTCTGTGGTAGTTTTACTCGGGTCACCGCTCTCCTCACATTCCCTTCCGGCTGCTTCACCTGGTCTGGACTCACGCTCGACACCTGGCCGGATACGAGCAGCAAGACGCTCACGAGTTCCTGATCGCTGCGCTCGACGTGCTGCACAGACACTGCAAAGGTACCGCAGCCAATCACACGCATCACAGCCCTACCAGCTGACCCGCCCCCTTTAGTTACAAGTCAAGCCACGCTCCTCTCACGCCAAACCTTTAATATGTTAAATAAAACATGCATTTAATCTCACGTTTTTTTGTTTTTTTTTTTAAAACCCAGCCATGGTGGGAAACAAGTAAAGACCCGCCCCCTTTAGTTACTGTTGCTATGTCCGACAAGCCACGCCTCTCAAAATACACTGACAGACAGGACAGACCAGGCTACTTTTGATATGAAACAGTCTGAACATTAATATTTAGGCTTTTTTTTTTTTTTTTTGAGAAATGCAAACAATAAATACTGTTTTGTTTCTCTTTAATGCGTCTGACAGATTCATTTTTTCGGTTTTAATTTAATTCCTTCTAGTTAATTTATAGCTTCAAACAGACATGAATGAACATCAGAAGAAATGTTGTTAATCTACTAACTCTCCTGACTGCTTTGTCCGACAAAAATGGCGGATTATAATTGGTCAGGACGCCTGTCAATCAAACTCCCTGCGAATGGTGAATTGATTGAAACGCAGCTAATTATATCCGTTCCACCTGGCTGCTTTTCAGATGAAATGTGTGGTTTAGAGCAGGAAAGATGATGATGTAACGCTGCATGGTGTGTGTTAGCGGTGACAGCTGTATTTTAGGGCTAATCTGCTGTCGGAAAGCAAGACGAGCCGGAACAGAAATGCATTTCAGGCGGGTGAAGATGTACATTATCTGCTATTGGCTGGACAAACATAAAGCCCACCTCAAAATCTTTCTATTGGTGGAGCCGGTGTTGCTGTGTCCAATTAACCCTCTGGGGTTGTTCGTTTCAGAGTCACACTCGGGATGTTCGGATCCAAATGGACCCAAAGGGCGGGATTCATATTTAAAAAAAAAAAAAAATCATGAGTTTTTTTTTTTACTCGTTTTTTACAATATTTTTTCTTTTCTTTTTCGGTGTTTTGAAAAAATTTCAAAAATAAAAAAAAATGTATAATTAGTATTAATGCAAAAATTATGACACAATTTCCCCCATTGAACGTAATAGAAAAAATATTTTTTAATTTTTTTCTATTTTTTTTTTTTTAAAGCTGTGTTTCATTTTAGAGTCAAGTCTTGGCCTCATAAAAGCAATTTTTGAAATGAGATGGATGCCATCTGGTGGACAAACTGAGCATTTTAAAAATGCAAAACACATGTATAATCTGAATTTTTTTGGTGTGTGTGTGTGTGTATCTGGATGTGTCTGTTTTGTACTTTTGATGTTTTATAGATTCACCCCTTCACTGTTGTGCTTTTTTTTCAAGATCGTGGCTGATTTGTAGATTGTACGCACAAAAAAGCTCAGTATTTTCACATTTTTGCCAATTTCCCATTCATTTTCCATGCGGGTCCATTTGGACCCGAACACCCCAAGCGTGACTATTTTTTTACAACCACTTAGACGATTCACATCCTGTCCCCAATTTTTTTGTGTGTTCAAATACCAAATACCAACAAAGTCGCCAAATTTCGGACCATTCAGAGGAAGCTGTGATTTAAAAAAAAAATTATTTAAATTCTTCGGGTCTATTTGGGCCGAACAACCCCAGAGGGTTAAAACAATGTTATGATAGTGAAAGTCTTAACGACTAAAATAATAATAATAATAATCGAAACCATTGTTTTTATTATGTTATTATTATTACTACTAAATAAAACTATGAAATAAGATGCATCAAAGAATGCAATGTTTAAAAATACTGTAAAATAAAAAATGGTGTTTAATAAGATTTAAAAAAAGCTTTTATTTAGCCGTTTCCACGCGTTTATTTGCTGAAATGGCAGCGTTTGCGGTGTGATAATCGGTGTTATTCCTATTATTCGGTCAGCTCTGCCTTTAACGTCCCACATGTTTTTTCTGGATCATCAGTCTGATGGCATGCAGATTTAATACAGATCGCTCCCAGCACCGCTAGCTTTATAGTACGTCAGCGCTTCTCATGTAAGGTCTAATTGTTATTCATGTGCAGATTCGTGACTGTAGGATGAAACATTTCCTGCTTTAAATATTGATTGGACTCTGAGCGCGCGCATGTGCGAGAGCGAAGGAGAGAGTCTTGTCGCAGTGTACGCACCGAGGTCGGAGTCGGTGGGCGGAAGAGCGGACCAATGAAAGCGAGAGGTTATAGATGTAGAGTCGGTAGACGGATCTCACTCTCTCCTGCAGTGTGGAAGCAAAGGGAGGGGTGTTTCTGCAGCAGTCCGAGCGCTGCTTTCTAATCAGACCTTCTCTCTCTCTCTGTGTGTGTGTGTGTGTGTGTGTGTGTGTGTTCATATGCTGCTTCCATGTCCGCTAAGGAGATGATAATGGGAAAAAAGCCAACAACCCAAACCACTGCAACTGCATCATTGACCAAATCTTCACAGGAGGCCTGCAGTCTGACGTCACCTGCCAAGTCTGCCAGTAAGACCACATATACAGCACAGTGTGTGTGTGTTTGTGTGTGTGTGAGATGAAACGAGGCGAGCGAACATCTGTCAACCGTTCTTGCATTAATTGACACATTGAATTGAATGTTGATATTTGCAAGTCCCTTTTTTTTTTACTTTTAATGGTTGTTTTAAACATTCAGTTTACAGAGTAAAACAACATAATAACAACAACAACATAATAACACAAAAATAAACAGGAAAATAAAAAATAAAAAGAGGGCAATACATAGATGAAAATAAATCTAAACATTTAATAAAGTAAAAAGTTTGTAGGACTTACAAATTTTACATGTTTTGAGTGCTTTTGGGTTAAGAGAGGAAGAAATTGTAGTGAAGTAATGTTTTATCTCATGCAAGAACGCCAGAAAAATTGGTTTTGTGTCCTTTTTAAAGTCTTGATGTCGTTTTTGGGCTTTACTGCAATAAGTTTGTATGTTTGAATGTTCAAAAACACATTATTCTCCTCATATTCTCCATTGTTGCGGCTCCTCTCTTCCCCAGTCTGTCAGTAACGCTCTGTTTACTTCCTGTCTCTATGAAGCCCCTCCTTCTGAAAAGCACACTGCGCTCTGATTGGTCGGCTGGAGCAGTGTGTTGTGATTGGTCGAGCGCTGAGTGTGTTTGGGAAATGCCCCGCCCCTTTCCTTAACCGCCAGTTTAACACCCTACTAACTCACTCAACCAGGCCCCGCCCCTTTATTCTGCGCATTAATTATTATAATGAGGAATACTGTGACGTGTTCGTTCCCGGAAGAAACTGAAGACTACAATGGAGGCGTTTCAGGAGTTCAGAAACACTTTGCAGAGATTTTTCACTCTCAAACAGCAACATTACACACTGAAGAAAGATGAACATGTAAAAAAGCACAATATAGGAGCTCTGCATCTGTTTTAGTAAGCTTTTTTTATGTAGGCAGTTTTACATTTCATTTACATAATTAAAGTCTCATGGTAAGTGTTTTGTTAATTTTGCTCTGTAAAAAAGACATATATTTGATTAAATCTGTTGCTTTAATGTCCCAACATAGACCACTCACTAGGCTTTGGAATAGAGCCAGTGTCTATGCATCTTGTTTTCTCTAAATAAATGCTCCCCAACGCCACCTTGTGTTTAACAGAGGTATTGCATCTTGCACATTCCTGCCGTTTCTTGATTATTTAAGTGCAAATGCATCTATCAAATCAAGCCGATTTGAGGTCGTGCGTTAGAAGACAATGTGATTGTTCAGTGTTTTGTGTGTCTGCAGCGGCGTGTCCACCACAATAGACCCGTTCTGGGACATTAGCTTGGACCTGCCGGGTTCGTCCACCCCGTTCTGGCCGCTGAGCCCGGGCAGTGACGGCAGTGTGGTGAACGGAGACAGTCATCCCAGCGGAGCCACCACACTCACAGACTGCCTGCGCAGGTGCACACACACACACACACACACACACACTGTGATCGCACCGGGCGCCACTAACTCAAGCTTCTGCATTGCAGGTTCACCCGACCCGAGCACTTAGGGAGCAGCGCCAAGATCAAATGCAGCGGTTGCCATAGTTACCAGGAGTCCACCAAGCAGCTGACTATGAAGAGACTTCCTATCGTGGCATGTTTCCACCTCAAAGTACGTGTGTGTGAGTGTGTGTGTGTGCGCATTGGTTTCTTTTTTGATGCAGATAAAAGTGCATATGTGTTTTTGCTGATAAATCTTAATGCATTTATTTTTAATTAGTATCAGCCCATTTTTGATGTATATGGAATATTTAATCGTGCATGCTTATTTCTTACATTTTTGTGTTTTAATGCTTTATTTAATAACGATAATTATTAATATTGTAACTAATCTTTGTGTTGTATTTTTTTACACATCACAAAATATTATAACTAATCTTTATTAATAAAGATTACTGTTAAATGTAATATTTACCCAATATCAAAACGAATATCCATTTTTTTAATACTGTACATTATAATATTTTGATGCCAGAATACACAGAATTCTGTGTGATTGATTATAATAAATGATAAATGTATAGAAATATTCAAATTCTATACATAGAATATTAATAATAACACATATTAATAGTAATATTCCATCAAATTTAAATGGAAAATCCTAATTTAAAATTCATTCATATATGAATAATAAAACAAGCTTAATAAAACATTTTGTATAAATCATTAACTTAATTTAAACATTTTAATTTATTTATTTATGAATATGAATCACAAACTGAATAGTCCATTCCCTATTCCATTAGGATGTATACAAACTATTTTATTAACCTTTTACTCATTTATAATATGAATAAAATATGTAAGCAATTAAATTCAATTTGATGGGATTTTACTATTAATTGAAAGTATAAATCTTAAACAAAATTTTTTTAGTGTAATATGAATAGCTACATATAAAAATATTACAATTTTATATTCCGGTGAACTTTTTAAAGCAAAGTTTTGATGGCAGAATTAAATTTTCACCAACATTATTATTATGACTAATACTACTACTGTATTTATATATTTTTTCATCGTTATTTTTTTCTTTACTCAGTAGTATAGAACTTTTCATATTTATATACATGTCTCATTTAATTATTTATTTTTAATAATAATAACAATGGCAAATTCATCATCACAATACATTTATTGGTTACTGGCCATAATATTAGCATAATTATCCTCTGTGTGACCGAATGTTTATATCGGTGCATCTGTACTGTATGATATTCAACATTTTTGCTGGTTCTTGACCAGAATGTGCAGTTGCAAAGACTCCACAGTGTTTGTTTTAATCATTGCGTGTGTGTGAGACCCTTTCTCTCGTCTGCATCTCTCACTCTTCTGTTTCCTTGTGTCCAGCGGTTCGAGCATTCAGCGAAGCTCCGGCGTAAGATCACCACCTACGTGTCCTTTCCTCTGGAGCTGGACATGACGCCCTTCATGGCCTCCAGGTACGACCTCGCTCAGCTCTGCTAAACATGCACTCGCCAAGCGCCGCATGCGAGGAAACATCCGTGTCCACAGTCTCTTCAATTCTAACAAATGCAAAGTTGAGCTCTTTTCCACGCCCACCTGCGCTTCAATGGACAAATTCACTCGCAATGACGTACAATAAACAACAATCCTAGTAAACATGGTAGGGTATGTCTTAAAGTGACAGCATCCTAATAATCCTGTTACTGTCGGCGTTTCCTAATGTTAAAGGAGTAGTTTTGAAACTTTTGCTGATACTTTACATCCAAGATGTCCATGTCTTTCTTTCTTCAGTCGAAAAGAAATTAAGTGTTTTTCATTTATCTCCATATAATGGACTTTAATGGGGTCCAAAGGGTTCAAGGTCCAAATGAGAGTTTCAAAAAAGCTCAAATGCTCGCCTTGCTCACGTTTCCTGACTCTTCTGTTCGAACTCGTTCATCAAAATGAACGAATCTTTTTCCGAGTCATTTCATTCGTTGAATGAACCAATGACTTCGAAAAAGATTTGTTCATTTTGATGAACGAGTTCGAACAGGAGAGTCACGAACGTGCATCACAGTACAGAGCAAGGCGAACATTTGAGCTTATAAAACTTAAACTTTGTATTTATTAAATGAGCGATCGCTTCGCTTGATAAGACCCTTATTCATCGTCTGGAGTCGTTTAAAGCCCTTTGAACAGTTTGTAGTTTGCACTGAAACTCTCATTTGGACCTTGAACCATTTGGTCCCCATTGAAGTCCATTATATGGAGAAAAATCCTGGAATATTTTCATCAAAAACCTTAATTTCTTTTCGACTGAAGAAAGAAAGACAAGGACATCTTGGATGACATGGGGGTGAGTAAATTATCAGCAAAAGTTTTTTCAAAAGTGAACTACTCCTTTAACCAAACAGCAAAGGACAAAGAAAATATAAAGAGTATGCATTATATGTATTATTTATTTGATTAGATTACTTTAAATTTCGGTACCTGAAAGTAGACCTGGCTGTAGAGCACTGTTTATTTAATTTGTTTGTATTGTGTTGTATTTGTGCTTTTAATTTGATTTTGTTCTTACTTTATTACTGAATGTTTTCTTGTCTTTAAAAATGTAGCCTATTAAATGTAGCTTAGTAGTTTAGTTTGTGTAGAGGAATGTGAATTTTCACTGATATCTACAATTTTTGTGTCATTACTGCCTGTTTTGTGTCATGGCTGGTAAATATATAGATTTTTCTTTATTTTTAAGTCACCAGCCATTGGTAAAAAAAAAAAAAAAAAATAATAGTTTACGGCCTTGTTCGTCAGTATCTGATGCCTGTCAACAACGACGGCAACATTCAGACATGGATTCATCATGGATAAGGAAGTGGAGTCACTCAGCAAATGAAAAGCTAATGTATTTTCTGTTTGACTCGTAGTAAAGAGAGCCGAATGAATGGACAGTATCAGCAACCAGTGGACTCATTAAACAACGATAACAAGTAAGTGACTGACTCAAAATACTGCATCCGCTCCTGCTGTATTATCCAGTTTTTTGGTGATTGTTGTTGCGTGCAAAAATCCTTGATTATGCGTCCTGTTTTCTTTAAAGATACGATGGAATATGCGGGATATTTATGTAATTTTATGGAAAAGTAGTTAGCAACACTACAAGTTACTATCAAAAAGGAGCTAGCTACATTGAAACTAATTTTGCTTTTTTGAACAACGTATATTATAAATAACTGAGAAATGTTTTAAGTAAAATATTTAGTTTTTAAAACAAGGCAATGCAATTATGATTTCAAAGAGTATTGTTTTATTGCACACCACACTCAAATATCTCAGACTGTTTGTCAAAAGTGCAAAACTGCAACAAATAGCCTACAACATTGCCAGAACAAAATATACATCCAACGCAAATTGCATGTAGAACATTTTCTCAAAAATACCGATTGAACTTGGACGGATAAGGCCATGGGTAATTAACGTTACTTGTTTCTCCATCCTCCAAATCTGCCGTCATGTCTTGCTCCATCATGGATAATCATAATATGGGTGTGTCAACCCACTTCTGTACGTCAGTGAACCGTTAGCCGCAAGACGCGCGATTAAACAACAGGTGGCGGTAATGGCAAAAAAATGAGTTTGTAATCTAACAAGAAGAAGAATATCCTTGCGTCGAGCTTTTGCTCGTGCTACACCGCTACTTGCTGCAAAAAGTAGTTCGCTACTGGAAAAGCTACACTCTTTAAAAAGCAACTGAGCTACTGCCAAGCTACTGAAAAATGTAGTTAAGTTAGTAGCATTGCAACTTGTACACTGGCAAGCATATACATCACAGACAGTGCTGGAATATTTCAGTTTTCTTTCAGACCTTAATAAACACATCAAACTTACAAAACAAGTTCTGTAGCTTTACAAAAGGAATATGCTACAACTTCTGTAAAAATAAATAAATAAAATATATAAAAAAAATAAAGTGTTACAGCTTTTCGATGATGTTCACGTCGCTTCATAACGTTCCCATGGCAACAGGTTATGTCACTTTATAACGTTCCCATGGCAACAGGTTATGTCACTTCATAACGTTCCCATGGCAACAAGGTACGTCACTTCGTAACGTTCCCATGGCAACAGGTTATGTCACTTCATAACTCATAATGTTCCCATGGCAACAGGGTACATCACTTCGTAACGTTCCCATGGCAACAGGTTATGTCTCTTCATAACGCATAACGTTCCCATGGCAACAGGGTACGTCACTTCGTAACGTTCCCATGGCAACAGGTTATGTCACTTCATAACTCATAATGTTTCCATGGCAACAGAGTACGTCACTTCGTAACGTTCCCATGGCAACATGTTATGTCACTTCATAACTCATAATGTTTCCATGGCAACAGGGTACGTCACTTCGTAACGTTCCCATGGCAACATGTTATGTCACTTCATAACGTTCCCATGGCAACAGGGAAATGGCGGAAAGCGGCTCTTGTGTGAAGCAAACGCAACATTTTTCAACTTTCTGCAAAGATAAATGTGACTTTTTTTTGCAACAAAAATGCGTGGATTTTGAAATCGGAAATCTGCAATTTATGAGGCGAAAGTGCTATATTGTATCTATATTGTTAAAAGCGCTATATAATGAAGGTGACTTGACGTGTGTGTGTGCGCGCGCAGGTATTCTCTGTTCGCAGTGGTGAATCATCAGGGCACGTTGGAGAGCGGCCACTACACCACATTCATCCGGCAGCACAAGGACCAGTGGTTTAAGTGTGATGACGCCATTATCACTAAAGCCAGCATTAAAGATGTCCTGGACAGCGAGGGGTCAGTCTCACACTCGTCTACACACGCCACAACTATAGTGACGTTTGAGTTTCATTGCATTCAAAACCAAATATCAAACTTTTGCAGATAAATTATGCTGGACTAGAAATAACTATACTTTGATTTATTGTAATGTTTTCCTTAAAGTGAGCTTATGCTTTCTTAAAGGGACAGTTCACCTACAAAAAATGTCTTTTTATCTTAACACTTTATTATAACTGCATGCTATGAATCATTAGTTAAGCATTCGTCAACAGTTAATTCATAATTTATAATAGACATTAGTAAGCAGTTTATAAATACAGCTATAAATGGTTTATAAGCATATCTATAATGTTTAATAATTGTATTTTCATATTTTATCAATGATCAGTTTGTCATTACTGAATTAAGTATTACATAATTTACAATCCAGTTATTTAGGAGTTGTCAGGGGTTTGTAAAAGCTTCACGAGGCATAAATAGCCCTCACAAAACTACCTGAATTAATCAGTAGGAATACATGTTAAAAAAGCATTTATTAAAGGGGTGCTATAATGTAAAATAAGTCTCTGAAGTTTTAGCTCAAAATACCCATCAGATACTTTTTGAGTGTGAGCAAAAACGCACTGTTTTGTGTCTGTCCCTTTAAATGCAAATGAGCTGCAGCTCCCAGCACAGGGGGCGGAGCTTCAAGAGCTCACACACTGACTGAACGTTTCAAATACTTTTAGCCTTTTATGTTCAAAACTGGTTCGAAATGTGAATAGAAACTATATCATCTCATACATGTTGTTTCTAAAAATATATATACATGTACATTGTATTTTCTCTTTGTGCAGGTACTTGTTATTTTACCATAAACAGTTCCTTGAATACGAATAAGCCGAGATCCAGACGCGGTCCGAGTCCAAAGCTGTGAAGGGAAGATCGTACGAGTGACGGCGTGATGATGGAGAGCAGGAACAACACTTGCTCGTACCGGGACAGAAGAGTAAAAAATGCAGCCTTTCTCACTAAAGAACATTAAAAACAACAAAATATGAAATTAAAGAAAAAAAAAGAACGAAAGGAAAAAAAAATTACACAGCTAAACCAATCTGCACTGAGCAACCGGAGCATACTTGACAGAAAGAAGAAGAAGAAGAGGAGGAGATGGAGAACCTCCGGCACTACAGACACACACAGACTGACATCTCATCATCATCATCATCATCTTCATCATCATCACGCGCACTTCACTTTCAGTTGCGTTTTCACCCACAAACAATATAAAGCATTCACGTGCATCAGTTCCCTCGTCCTCAAATGATTTCTGGAGAAGTATATGAGGGGGAAATATTCCTTTTTTTATTTCTTCGTATGCATTATTGATGTACTGAATGCAAAAGAAAGGTGTTATTGGCTTAAAACTATATTGTCGGTTGAGTTTGGAAATACTGTCCTTGTCCAGCACTTTTCTTTTTTTCTTCATTCGGAAACGCTTGTTTTTCTTTTGGTTGAGGGCTGAAAATGTATCACACACACACATGCGCACATAAATCTATATATAAATATATTTTTATAAGTCCTTTATTTCCTGTTTACGTGTCCTACACCCCCATCTTTTCTCTTTATGTGCTTCGAGTCTTGGATATGAATGGAAAGGGTGTGTGTGCTTGGTTGCATCACGGGTTTCGGTTGCTGATGAATGTGGCTGCAGGTTTGTTTGGTTGTGAAGGCTTGTGTTTCAGACGCATTGTGAATGAAGACGTTTTTTTTTTCTGTTCATGTGATGCCTGTCGCCACCATGGCTCGATTCAGCAGTGTTATCCTCAGCCACATGTCGAGTGTGTGTGTGTGTGCGCATGTATGCATATCCTGTGTGTGTGCGCATGCAGGTATGTGGGCACCTGTGTGTTGGTGGTGTTAACGTGTGTGTGTGTGTGTGTGTACTGAATCAGTACTCAAACTTGGCATGCTGTTTAAACTGGATGCTAAAAGACTTTGGGGAGGATTTTATAAATGTTAATTATGTATCTATGTATAGTATGTATGTATGTAATGTATGTAAAACAAATCAATGGAAAAAAAAATGGTGAAGAAAAAAAGTGCTGTGTCTGATTTGCTCTCCGGTCTGAAACGAGGAATAATAACACGAGATTTCTGCTTTCCATAGGGTTTGGAAGGTTTTTATTTATTTATTTATTTCAAAAGCAACAAGTTTTTCTACTCTTAATTAATTTCAGTTCTTTCTCATTCGCCACTTTATCCTTTGTTCTCTGCTTTCACCAATTCTTAAGCTCGTTTTTAGGGCATCTTTATGTCTGCTGCATGGAAAACCAAATGAATCATAATCTTATGACATGACAAAAACAGTTTTCTCATGCACTGGTCAGTATTTTGCCTTTATAACATCTCATCTTCAGGCTAGTGGAAAGACAACATCCAAAACATCCATTTCAAGGGATAGTTCACTTTGAAATTAATTTTTGATATGTTTTATTTTACCTCGAGGGCATCCAAGATGTAGGTGTCTTTGTTTCCACAGCATTTTCAATTTTAATATCTTTGGTCAAACCGTTCTTGTCTGTCAGTCATATAATGGAGGTCTATGGTCACCACCTCAAAGAGCATGCACAGAGAAGTCCAAATTAAACATGATTTAATGACTCGTAAATGTAAGTACACACTGATGGCCTAAGACACGAAACGAGCGGTTTGTGTGAGAAAACCAACAGTATTTATGTAGTTTTTACCTCTTGTTAACAGCCGTCAAACTGTTCTAAATCAGGTGTTCAACCCGCAAAGTTACGCCGGAAGTGATCTCTCGCACGTCGTCTACGTCATTAAATATTTACACGGAGATTTCGGAAGTTTTACCTTTCACTAAACATATTTAGATGTATCGAAATCGTCTTCCATTGCGATTTCCCGTATATCTAAATGTTTAGTGAAAGGTAAAACTTCAGAAATCTCCGTGTGACGTAGACGCGCGAGAGATCACTTCCGGCGTAAAGTTGGAGACTGTTCAGTTGACAGTTCAGTCTGATTCAGATCAGTTTGACGGCTGTTAACAAGAGGTAAAAACTATATAAATATTGTTGGTTTTCTCACACAAACCGCTCGTTTCGTGTCTTAGGCCATCAATGTGTACTTATATTTATCATTCATTAAATCATGTTTAATGAGTCATTAAATCATGTTTAATTTGGACTTCTCTGTGCATGCTCTTTGAGGAGATTCCCATAGACCTGCATTATATGACTGACAGACAACAAAGCTTTGACCTAAAAATGTCAAAATTAAAAATTCTGTGGATGCAAAGACACCTACATCTTGGATGCCCTTGAGGTAAGATAAAACATCAAAAATTAATTTCAAAGTGAACGATCCCTTTTATCACACCATCCAGTTGCACATCTGATATCAATCTATAGCCTATATCTTTTAAGTTGGTGAGTTTGAGTCAGAAATCTCCTGTTCAGCAGCTTTACACACCAAACTTTACAGTTTAATTCATCTATATTCTTAAAGTTTGGTCATATATCGGTCGCCTGGTTACAACATTTAAACATGGCGAAAATGTATTTTCTGCTGTCTGTTGGCAGTATTTTATACCCTCTGTTAAAAACCTGTACATTTCAACAAAATCATAGAATTATGAACCTTTCGGATTTCTCTTCTGAAAATGTTTGCAAATTGCTGCATATTTAGTAAGATAATACCTCGTTTGCATATTTAAACACTATTTCAGAAAACTTGTGATGCAAAACAGTTGTCATAATGTACAGTGGTTAATCATTGGGTGGAAGTAAGTTAGTGACTGCACAACAGTAGGATTCAGGGAGATAAAATCTTATTTGTTTTCTCCACAGAATATACTGACTCTGAGCTCCAATGTTTAACGATTAAATGTGTTTCCAAGACAAAGTATTGTGTTTAGTAGCTGTCGTGTAGAGTAACATGCCTCAGCAGCTGTGTCGTTGGGCCGTCCGCCATATTGGAACAGTCAAAGCAAGCAAACGGTCATGCATGTATGAATTTTATGACTTTAGCAGATGATTTTGCTAAACTAACACAATATAACAACACGAAGGCGTAATCTAACATGACAATGAGCAGCTTCCATAGTACTGCTGAAAACATTTTCAAAGGTACCAGTCAAACCTGTAATATTGAGTTACTGCACATAAAAACCACAAACCAACACATTCTCAACTGTGAAAGGTTATCCCATTTCTTAGGGAATTTAGATAATTCACACAAAACATGATATGCTCTTGTTGTGTCGTTGCGACATATGGTCAAAAATGTGAACGTGACTTCTGATTGCCTAGAACTTTAACTTGGTGATATTCCCGCGCACTCCAATCTCCTCTGGAACGCAGCGTTTTACTGAGAAGTGACGTCATGATGACCGTTCCAAGATGGCGAGCCTTGTCTGGAGCGGTCGAAGTCGGTATACATATGATAATATCGTAGATATCTTATCTATGAAAGAGTCACTCTTGTATGGAAGCCCATTTCCGACACGTATAAAAATCATCCTGCGTCGCGGTAAGTCATTAGCTTTTTTAAATGGAAATTGTGACTTAAAAAGTAGAAATCTAAATCGAAATAGACACATTTAGGCTAAGTAAATATTATGACTTAAAAGTCAACGTCATAGTTTTGACCTTTTAATTAATCATAATGTCATAATTTTAGATAAAGAGTAATCTTAAATATTACTTTTAGTGTCATGATTTGTTAAGTCTTAATTTGGACTTTTTATGTCATAATTTCAAATTAATGTCACAATTTTACTTTTTAAGTCTTAATTTTGATTTTGTCATAATTTCGATTTAGTAGGTGATAATTTTGACTTTTTAAGTCTTAATTTCGATGTATGTTTTAATTTCGATTTAGCGTGTCATAATTGGGCCACTGTCCTGCAGAGTTTAGCTCCAACCCTGATCAAACACACCTGAACAAGCTAATCAAGGTCTTCAGGATCACTCACAGGTAGGTGTGTTTGATCAGGGTTTGGGCTAAACTCTAGGACCAAGTTTGAGAAATCCTGATTTAGAATTTTGTCATAATTATGATTTACCTCAGCTTGATTTTTTTTTCTTATGTGGAATAGGCTTCTTATAGGCTAGTTAATCATTTCAAAGTATGGATCGTGTGTGTTTGACCTTTGAATCAAATGGTGATTTATGAGTTATTCTGTTGGTTTTGTTCATGGTTCGAGACTTTTCTGCACGTCTATCTATGGCGAATATGACCGAGAAAGCTATAGACTAGGCTCCTTTCAAGATGAAGCTGGCTTAGAGTGTGTTGTGCTCTAATAAATAGCATTTATTAAAGCTAAAATGACATTGATTTTCCATAGGAATGTTTTTGAGTGTGAACGCACTCGTTTCTCCCTCACACTCGCATCTGACTAGTGTATTCACACAAGCTTGTTTGAGTAGGAGAACATATGATCCTGAACGGCCGGCTCTTGTCGGAGTGTGTGAGCGCTTGATGATGTGTGTGTGTGCTGTTGTTCTCTCCGGCCTGCTGATAGAGTGTGTGTGGCGCCACCGTGTGGTCAGAGAAGCAGTAGACGCATGTTTCTGTGGCTCTCGATCTGTCCTGATCCTGGTTCACATCAGCAGCTCGAGTCATCAGAGAATCTGAAACAGCACAAACACATGATTCATGCCAACCTTGGAGAAGATGATGTTATGCTAAAAATGTTTTTCAGTTGATGGTGATAGAAACATTTAGATTTAATTAAAATTACAAGTGCTGGGCCACGAGTAATCGCATCCAAAATAAAAGTTTGTGTTTACATAATATATGTGTGTGTATTGTGTAACATTGTTTTGTATATATAAATACACCAGCTGCATGAACGCCAATACGTTTAACAATTGTTAACTATATAAATTAAATATAATATTATATGAATTTATTAATATTATTTATTATATTAATATACATTTTATATTAAATTAAATATAATATAAATTATGTATAAATATAGCCTGTATACATTATATACATGCAAATATTCTTTAATCTTAAATATGCATATGTGTGTTTATATTGGCCTATACTAAATAAGTTTACACAGTACACACACATCTATTATGTAAACACAAATTTTTTTGTTGAATGTGATTAATCGTTGCTCATAAAATCAAACACATTTATCCCCCCCCCCGGCCCCAAATTATGTTATTAAAATGCATTTAAAGAAACTGCACTTATTTCCATACACATAAAACACATATTTAATATGTATGTTTTAGATCCCACATCAATGTAAAGAACTATTTGATAAATGAATAAAAAATATATAAAAAATATTGTAGTATAACATTACGGCTAAATCTGTCTTCATAAATCCTGAATATGTTTTGAGAAGTATAGATAAAGGGACAATCTAAAACGCTTAACATTGCTTAATGTAGACAGTGTTATTAAAAGACCAAACTCAGTAAACACTTTATTCATTGCATTGGGTTAAAAGCCAGATGGGTTGAAAAGAAACCCAACAGTTAACTATTTATTTTTTATTATTAGCCTATTTTAATAAATAAAATACACTTTGTTTCCTAATACAGATTGTTTATTCATATAAAACAATAATTATGTCTCAACAAATATATTTTTAAATTACAAACTAAATTTTGGTATATTTAGAATTTAATTTAATTACACTCTAAAAATGCTGGGATGTTTTAACCCAACTTTGGGTCAAATATGGACAAACCCAGCCATTGGGTTACATTTTTAACCCAACGTTTTGAGTTTGTCTATTTATGACCCAAAGTTTGGTTAAAACAACCCAGCATTTTTAGAGTGTATGCATAGTTGACCATTATTAGTTGACTATTAGTTGACTACACAACTATTAGTTGTGTAGGCTACGTAATTTCAAAACACACAAGTGTACATACAACACATGTATTTAACCCAACAGCTGACTTTTTTTTTTTTTTTTTTTTTTTTTTTTTGTAAAATACCCCAACATAGTGAGTGACCCAACAGTTGTGTAACCCAATGGTTGGGTTATTTTTTATTTTTATTTTTTTTTTACTGTGTGGTATACTTTACTAGTAAGCTAGTTCACTACTTTGACTAGTATGCCTCCATTACGCCACGTGACGCGCTACAGTGTGCCCATGATAGTGCTGTTAGATTGACCTTTGGATGACTGGTCGTGCTGGTTGTGCTGGTCGTGCTGCGGTTTACTGGTGTCCTGCTGGTATTTGGCTCTTCTGATCAGCATCAGGATCGCAGTGGTCAGTGTGAACAGCAGGACAGTAACACACACACCCAGCAGTGAGAACAGCAGCGCCTCTGAGAATAGCGCGGGTGTGTGTGTGTGAATCCCTGCGCGCCCCCTGCCGGTGACCAGAGGAACTGCAGACACGCCTGCAGGACCCTGCGTCACTACAAAAAATAACATCTATTCTTACTGGAGGCTGTCACCAAATCTTACTCTAATGCTTATTTTGAAAATGTAATTTTTTGATATTTAAAGTATGATAACAGTGTGAATAAGGAGGCTTTTCTAAATAATTTGTTAATTTTATTAACATTTCACATTCATAAGTGTAAGTTTTCTAACAAAAAGCACCTTCTTAGTGACTTTAAGCATTGGTAAACCTCATGAAATCAAAATTGTATTTTTTTAATGGAATATTGCAGTATTTATCTCTTCTCTGATGATGTGGGCGGGGCAACCTGTCACTCACATGAGATCCACCAATAGCAAACCACAACCATCCAATCAAGCCCCGCCCACATGTGTTCTTGTAGAGGAGAAAAAAAACAACGGAACTTCCCTTCATGACAAATTTAAAGTAAATTTAAAGTTTAAAGTAATTTAACGTTGAGAATTTAAAGAATTTAATTAAAAGCTAAAATGTCATGTATAAGAGCTCGGAGAGGTTTAAGGTCACGTGACTCATTCCTCAGTGAGTTATGATTGAGGACATACACAAATAAGTATTCATTACTTCAATGAGCTTAATGTTTTTCGGCATTAAAATATTACACTAATTTTTCGCTAACTGACTTTGTATATTTCTGAAATGCATAACTTAGTTCCTCCTGATAACAGATCACTCTAAATTGCAATGTGGACTCATGCATTTTTATGTGTATTGCAAAAAGCACTATACAAATAAATGACAGAATGCACATGCTGTACTCACTCTTGCAGGCGTGTCGGCAGGCCGACGGGTGACTGCCACAGATCTCAGAGCAGTTCAGACACTTCTTCAGTAGCCGGTCATAGAACTGACCCGACACGGCTTTACATCTCCAGGACACTGCCGACACAACAGATCACGTCATCACACACATCTTCACTCATCATAGCGGATACTGCTGAACCGCTGTTTCACGAGCGCTTCGTGATGTTTAATGTAGTCGAGCAGAGCTAAATAAAGTAGATGCTTTGGTGTTTAACTTTATATTACCAGTTGGTTAAATCTCAGTACATAAAAGGGATAGTTCACCCAAAAATAAAATAAAAATCCCATAATTGACTTGCCCTCAAACCATTCTAGGTGTATATGACTTTCTTCTTTCAGACGAACACAATCAGATTAGATTAAAAAATTGGCTCTTTCAGGCTTTATAATGAGCGTGAATGGCTGGAGAAAATTTTGAAGACAAAAAAGTTTATCTATCGATCATAAAAGTGCATCTATCCATCATAAAAGTGAATCTATCCATCATAAAAGTGCATCTATCCATCATAAAAGTGCATGTATCCATCATAAAAGTGCATCTGTCCATCATAAAAGTGCATGTATCCATCATAAAAGTGCATCTGTCCATCATAAAAGTGAATCTATCATCATAAAAGTGCATGTATCCATCATAAAAGTGCATCTGTCCATCATAAAAGTGCATCTGTCCATCATAAAAGTGCATCTATCATCAAAAAAGTACATCTATCCATCATAAAAGTGCATCTGTCCATCATAAAAGTGCATCTATCCATCATAAAAGTGCATCTATCATCATAAAAGTGCATCTATCCATCATAAAAGTGCATCTATCCATCATAAAAGTGCATCTATCTATCATAAAATTACATCTGTCCATCATAAAAGTGCATCTGTCCATCATAAAAGTGCATCTATCATCATAAAAGTGCATCTATCATCATAAAAGTGCATCTATCATCATAAAAGTGAATCTATCCATCATAAAAGTGCATCTGTCCATCATAAATGTCATCTGTCCATCATAAAATTACATCTGTCCATCATAAAAGTGCATCTATCATCATAAAAGTGCATCTATCATCATAAAAGTGCATCTGTCCATCATAAAAGTGCATCTATCCATCATAAAAGTGCATCTGTCCATCATAAAAGTGCATCTGTCCATCATAAAAGTGCATCTATCCATCATAAAAGTGCATCTGTCAATCATAAAATTACATCTGTCCATCATAAAAGTGCATCTATCCATCATAAAAGTAGCAATTCACAACCTCACCACTAGATGCCGCTAAAAACAACAGTGTAACTCACCGCAGTATTCAGAGCAGCGTGTGAGAACAGGGTTGTTGTGACACACCAGACTGCAGGACACACACTCTCGCACCAGCCGGTCCATGTACTGGCCTTCACCACAGCGCTGGGCCATCGCTCAGTCCACACACACACACACACCTGTGTTCCTCTGAATCATGAGGGACTACAGCTGAAAGGAATGAGATAGTACACACACCTCTGGACTTTGAGTTTCTCATATTCAGTCTTATAATTCATCACACAAAGACGCTGATCTTCAAAGCATTTTCTCATTCGGATTGGCACTTCAGTTAAAGATGAGCATACATGTATGGATGTGGACAAAATTATTTTAGATTCCATGGATTTGATAAACCTTTGTTAGTTTCACATTGAACTAAAATAAATATATTTATTAGTGCGTTGCCTGATGTACATAAAATTATATGAATCGTTATTATATATATTAAAATATATGATAAAACATAAGATATCATCGTTATAGCTACTAAACATGGAAGCTTGTTTCTGCCACTGAATAAAAAATAATAATAATAATAATAATTGCAACTTTTTATCTCACAATTGTAGTCAGAATTGTGAGATATAAAGTCGCAATTCTGAGAAATAAAGTCGCAATTGTGAGAAAAAAGACAGAATTGCGACTTTTTATCTCACAATTCTGACATATTTTCTCAGAATTGTGAGATACAAACTCTCAATTGCAAGTTATCAGGCCAATGGGGAAAACAAGACTAACTTTCCCCCCCTCAGAATAGTTTATATCTCACAATTCTGAGCTTACAACACGCAATTTCGACTTAATATCATGCATTTCTGACTTTATAACGCAATTGCGAATTTACATCAATCAATTCTGACTTTATAAAGATTTATACTGAGAAATAAAGTCAGAATTGCGACTTTTTAACACATGTGCGTGCACACACACACACACAAACACACATTTACCAGTATATTACCAACAGTGTTGGGTAAGTTACTCTAAAAAAGTAATTAATTACTAGTTACTAATTACCTCTTCAGCAGTGTAATTAGATTACTGTACTAATTACTCTCTCTAAAAAGTATTTAATTACTTTTAATTACTAATTACTTTCAAAATCCCATATCAATCTCAACCAGCTGAATAATACAAGGATAGACATGAATCTGTTTTAATTCTTTTAAATAAATACTATAAAATTGCATGAATTATCCTTAAACTGACCAAGGTGGAGAAGGTTCGATTATAAAAACATACTTTTTAGCATCAGACAATATATTTTGATGTTAAACCCACTATTTTTTTTGTGTCTGATCTCATTACATTTCACACTTTTTCCATACGTATTTTAAAATAATTCATACGAATTTGTACGAGTGCGGTCGTAATATTTAGACACCTCATAAAATGCATACGAATCGCTGTGAGATCGGATTGATCCATACACGGTATTTACCTCAATTACATCAGAAGTAACTGTAATTAAATTACAGATAAATTAAGAGTAATCCCTTACTTTACATTTTTTTAAAGGGAAAAGTATTTAAATTACAGTAACTAATTACTTGATTACTTACTGATTACCAATAATAATAAGCATTCGACTGTCCCTGTTAAATTAATATGAGCAACATTTTAAAAGTTTGATACTTTTTATTTTACGGTTAAATTTTTTTTGTTTATTTTGTATTAAACATTTAAGTGCTGAGTAATAATAATTAACTACAAGCACTTACTATAGAGTTAGTTGCACTCAATTATGCATATTATACAGCTATTATTACATGTGTAACAAGGACACTATAAAATAAAGTGTTACCAAAAGTTCTCATAATCCATTAATCTCAATTGTAAAATTATTTAAAAAAAAAAAAATTCTAAATGAGCTTCATGAATGTTGTGAATCTGTTAATAGCCTGTAAATATCAAGGACATTCACTACTCTTTTTACACTAAAAATAAAGATGTCGTAGTATTTACGAATTTTCACTTAAACATTTTAATAGTAAATTTCACAAATGATTAACACATTTGGATTAGACTTGTAAAGTATCCTCAAACAAGCAGGCTCCGCGTGTAGTTCAGTGATGACTTACCTCGAGCGGGACTGAAGACATGAGGTGCTCTGTGGTTTAGTTTCTGTGTGTGTGAGATTATTTCTACCAGCAGATGATTTGAATGTAACCACACACACACACACACACACACCGTCTCAGGAGACCACACTGCTGCAACTGCTTTTTATTACATGCAGATAACATCGGATGATTTCATAGATGTCTCACTTTATTATACACGTAAATCTGAGACAAAAAAAAAAAAAAAACATTTTTCATGTTCAGTTTTTTCACAAAACTTTCATGAAAACTTTCACAAAACTTTGAAAAACTTTCAAAATATTTTGTTTGTATGAATATTTGAACATGCGTTATATCAAAAGAAACAACAGAGCCTCATTTGAAACAACGAAACCCTAGTTTCATCTTTTCTTTTTAATCAACACTTTTCATTAAAATATATATATATATTGAAGAAAAATCGAAGAAACTCTTTCACTGCCTGCCTTTATTTATTTATTTATTTTAAAGTTGCCAGTCAGTCATGTTGTGTGAAATTATGCTGTACCCACATTGGACCAGTGGTTTGTAAATGGATGGATGAATGATTCAGCTGGGCGCCATCTTCTGGCGAGACGTGGGAATACATTTGGCATGACCCTCACAGTGCATTATGGGTATTCTCTGGCTGTCGAGCGCACATTGGTAGTACAATCGTTGTTGCGGGGCATTATGGGATTGAACGAGTGCTCTCGATAACATCCACTATGATAGTGCTCTATTTAAGGCTATGAGGGCCTTTCTTCGATTTTAGAAGATGCTTAACAGCGCCCCCTATACCGTATAACAGTGAAAACAGAAATGACGGGGAAAGAGAATATTGACGCGTTTGAATTCGACACAATGTCGTATGGAGGAGATTAGGAGGAAACTGTGGCTTTACCAAGATCAACAGCTCTGAGCTGTGATATGAACGAAACGCCATTGGCTATTTTGAAAAGGGGGAGGAGCTGTTTGATATGCCCCGCCCCCTCTCTTCCCGTTCCTGTTTCATGGCTATGCGTTTCAAGGCACTTCATTGGGAGTTTAAGATCGGTGTATGACATCAAAGAGGGATTCAAAAGCACTCACATTTTTATTTGCGGTAATTGTTAACGCAGAAATAGTTGGCAGCACTGCGATTAAGTAAGCCATTATGAAAGAGATAAAGAGCTATTTCTACCTGATTTACATTTTTTTTTTCAATTGTTAGCAATCGTTTACCAATTCTTAAAGGGATAGTTCACTTTGAAATTAATTTTTGCTATGTTTTATCTTACCTCAAGGGCATCCAAGATGTGAGTGTCTTTGTTTCCGCAGTATTTTCAATTTTGATATTTTTAGGTCAAACCGTTCTTGTCTGTCAGTCATATAATGGAGGTCTATGGTCACCACCTTAAAGAGCATGCACAGAGAAGTCCAAATTAAACATGATTTAATGACTCGTAAATGTAAGTACACACTGATGGCCTAAGACACGAAATGAGCGGTTTGTGTGAGAAAACGAACAGTATTTATATCGTTTTACCTCTTGTAACAACAGCCACGTCCAAGTGATCTGAGGGCGCCTCATTGTTCATTGTTCACTCATTGTTTACACAGAAAAAAGATTGTTAGTAAGACGACTAATTAAAATGGTACTAATTTACGCTTAAACCGTCGTAAAAGAAAACAATTACGTATGCTCGCGCAAACTGTTCTCCACTTGCTCAGACCGAAGCGCCCGCGCCCTCAGATCTCTTGGACGTGACTGTGATTACAAGAGGTAAAAACGATATAAATACTGTTGGTTTTCTCACACAAACCGCTCGTTTCGTGTCTTAGGCCATCAGTGTGTACTTACATTTACGAGTCATTAAATCGTGTTTAATTTGGACTTCTCTGTGCATGCTCTTTGAGGTGGTGACCATAGACCTCCATTATATGACTGACAGACATGAACGGTTTGACCTAAAAATATCAAAATTGAAAATACTGCAGAAACAAAGACACCTACATCTTGGATGCCCTTCAGGTAAGATAAAACATAGCAAAAAATAATTTCAAAGTGAACTAACCCTTTAAAGTAAAGTAACCCTTTTTCTAAACTCTTAACACAGCGACACGCCGACGTCACACAATTAGTCAAATAGTTAATTTTCTGGCCAAAAACAAAAAACAAAACACACATTTTGTTAAATAAATACAAATTCTCCATTTCAAAATGCTATAAACCTTATTCTACATACACTATAACTCTATCAAAACACAGCATCAAAATCGAATCATTCTTTCTAAACACTAGCTTTTCTATCCAACATGAACATACAGTCAATCGTAGCACAATGTCTGTCAAAATAATGACAATTGATGACATTATGAAAGCTAAATTACTTAAGTCATGTGTCAGTTCTAACTGCTAAATCACAATAAACACACACACACACACACATACACACACACACACACATATATACTGTATATATATATATATATATATATGAAGAGTTCAGATGCAAAAGCCTCTAAGTGCCATTTGAAATTTTCTTCTAAAATGATCATTTTTTATCAAGATTGTATATTTAAGTTCAGTAATTTCACTTAAATGGCAATGAAGATTACCTATTAATTGTCATTTAAGTGAAATTACTGAACTTAAATATACAAGTTTGATAAAAAAATCATCATTAAAGAAGAAAATTTCAAATGGCATTTAGAGGCTTTTGCATCTGATCTCTTCATATATATATATAATTCGGTTTCATATTGTAAGCCATTCAACATTTTTGGATGTGTGCACTCTGGGCAACTATCTAAATGTGAAGGTACTTCATAAGGCTGTATATTCTGCGTATATAACAGTAGTACGGGGGAATATCACTGTAGTAAAAGCTTTATATGGGTTTTTAATGAAATAAAAACATAATATTGCTGCCATTGATCAACAACACGTCCAGCATGCATGGCCTTTGGTTACTATGGAAGCTTTTAGAATGAAAAAATAGACTTTTTTATCAGCACAAGTCAGACTTTTTTTTTCTTTTCTCAGAATTGTGACATATAAAGTCCCAATTACTGTCTTTTATTTTCTATTCCATGGCAGAAATGACCTTTCATGGGTTCCAGATGAACATAAAGATGCACATTATTCCCACTCTCCCCTAGCCTTTTATTTCTCTTATATATGAATGGCATGCGAGTGTAAGTTTATATGCTGATGACTATGGGGTTTAGTGTTTTAGCAATTCAGAAAAACTGTAATAGAAGAAGCTCCTTTATATTTTAATATGTATTTTTCCAGGGTAAGTGAGAAACATTGTTATAATATAGGCAGAGTCTAATGGATATTACATTATGTAATTTTATAGTCTTTTGAATAGCCTACTCTAGATGTAAAGAGTGTCAAAATGGTTGGCTTTACTAAGTTGGCTATTAGATAGGTTGTTCATTGTAACTAACCCACTGATGTCACATGACTACTTTGATGATGATTTATTTCCAGTATACCGTACACACATACACAAACTGTATTCTGAAGATGAACGGGCTTGGACCGACATGACGGGAAAATCGTTTTCATTTTTTGGGTGAACTAACCCTTTAACATCAAGTCAGTCACTATATTATACAATAATATATCTTGATATGTGTGTTTTATGTGTATATTGTTATTTTTTTTGTCTGTCTTCTCTGTCGTTGGTCAACGTCAGTTGTTTTAAATGTGCTATACAAATAAAATTGTATTGTATTGTATTGTATACTCTTTTAAGACAGTCCGCAGACAATCCTATATAGGCTGCAGTTCTTCAGCCCGTTTCATACCCATATTGGCTGGGTAATTACAACGAGTCAAACATAGCGACATGTTTTTTTGTTTTTGTTTTTTTAAACACAAGAATTAAAACAAATGATCTCCCACTGAATGTTTGCATGAACTAAATGACTAGAGAAGATGTTCATCTCAGCGCAGATGACTCAGATTTACACAATCCTCTGGGGACATCGCTCAAGTTTTGTTTCAAAAGATGAATATCTCTTTTCAACTCATTTTGTGCCACTGATGTTTGCAAACAGCTTCCCCCACATTGTTTAAATTCATAAATCCACAGTAAAATGAGTCGTGCTGTTAAGTTCGGAGTAATTGTGATCATTATCTTTTCGGTGACTTTGTGAATGACACACCAATTCGTATTTCCATTTTCGCCATGCTATCAAGACGCATAATTCAGCGTGTTTATGAACGCCGTTGACTCAAAGTTATTACTGTATGTATAAATATATGACTTACCTCAACCCAGTCCCTAAACCTACCCGTCACTGGGGTTAATGGCATTTATGACTGTTCCCTTACCATCCTAGGAAAAAAAGAGATCGCTCCCTAGATGTAGATGTACATTTTGCTTCGTTTCGCGCAGACAATTGACGGCGTGTACGGACACGCGGACGTTAATGGCGTAGACATACACGCATACACGCGGATAGCTCAAAATGTGTAGAGATAACACGGCACTTGACTCGAAAGTGCCGTGTATGTTTACGCAAAAGTCGATACGATACTGAAGATACCGAATCGATACGATACCGAAACGATACTGAAGAGAAAACGCAAAAGTGGCGTTGCGTTATCACTTTTTATTCTGCGTTTAGACGAGCGTTATGGGTGGGAAATCCGCGTGCATATGGTGACGCAAAAGTATGTGAAATTCGATATAGTGTGCACTCCAGACGGCTAGGTGGCGATGTGAAGCACTGATGCACAACAACACCAAGTCCGCGCGCCGGCGTACAAACTTCACTATCAAGCAGACTTTTGAGTTTTTACCGTTTACACCGGAACGCGGCGGTGGAGCGTTTTCTAACATTTCCACTCTGGAGGGTGGTTTCACTTTTTTGTGTTTTAAAGCTACACTGTGTGATTTTTACCCCATCTGGTGGTGAAAAGGTATATGACCATCCAGTGAATAATAGTTTCTGTTCCCCTCAATTCCGATTTCGTTTTAACTCCTACGGTGGCCAATGTAGTCCAAGATTAACAAGGCTTCCAGTTCGACCTCGTCCATG